CTTCCCATCTCCTCCATTTTTTAAGACAAGGTATCCTATAACCAAGACTGGCTTCTAACCCTTAGGGAGTTAGAACCTTCAAACACACCTTCACCTGGGATTTCCGTGGTACTGGAGACTGAGCCCAGGGCTCTGTGCCAGCTGCTCAGGCCCTCTACCAACTGAGCTCCATCTTTAGCTCCGACATGGAATACTTCTGATCCCTGTCTGCAGCCTCACTACCTGACCCAGAGTAAGAACACAACAAATGCTCATTTAGTGGAGAAAAAGGGAGTTCTCTTGGTCTATAAGATGTTGATATAATCCTGGCCACCAAAGTTAAAGAAAATGCTGGTTTTCAGTTTGGCCAAATAAGTACTTGCTTATGTGATTTGAACTATGTAGCCACTCTGAATTCTAATAATCGCATTTTCAAATACACAAAAGCCCATGCACATTACAGCTCTCGTTTCTTTCCTCAACAATGGGGTGGGTAACCACAGAAACTTGTGGAATCTATTTTCCTAGAAAACATGAAAACCAGGAGAAAAGCCGTTCTGTCTGGAAACTGCTTCAGTCTTCCTGTAAGCAGGGCGCTGGGCTGGGGAAGACACTGGCACGAATGCACACCAAATAACTAAAACGGTTCTGTCATTTACAGTCTAGAAAGTGAAGTCACTGCAACATCTCCAAACATAGTCACTGGAGGTCATTTTACTTGGATTTAATTAATTTAATTAAGACACATTTTCTTCTTGAATTGTACAAAATTTTCGTATACTTTTTCTTTGGACATGAGCTTCTCTTCAATGAGACAGAATAAAGACTGCACATAGAGGCAGGAGAGCAAGTTTCTTCCTTTTTAGATTGACTTTATCTCTTATACAACCCCATCCACCATGCCTTTATGAATATCTAGAGAACTCACTACCTGCATCATGTAGTTCAGCCAATTATGGTATGGTGTTTTCTATTCACCTGGTTCACAGGTATTGAGCCTTGTCTCCCCAGATGACTGTTAGCTTCCTGATTATGAGCAGGTGACAGACCCTCAACTCTCCTCTCACTGTTAACAGAGTTCACAGTAGGTGCTTGCCATGAGCACAGTACTAAAACAGAAAAGTGTAAAAGCTACCCTGATTGACTATTACTCTACACTGAGCACATAGATGTCACATGGACATAAAGCTTTTCAGACTGCTATGTAGTGAGCCTGGAACCAGCCTCCTTGAGGGGGATTAAATTAGGAAACCTAAAGGTCACAACTATTTTGCTCTGATCTAAGGAATGAGGCGTCATCAAGGCAAACCCCTCCATATCAGGTAGGGCTGCTTTAGACAGCACAGCACAGCCTGCAGACCACAGAACCCCTCAGTCAGTCAGGCCACATTATGTTTGTTAGATGACAAGAACATACAAGTAGGGGACCGGAGAGATGGCTCAGTGATTAAGGGGACCAGCTGCTCTTCCAGAGGACCTGGATTCGATTATCAGTACCCACATGGCAGTTAACAAACCACTTGTAAGTTCAATTCAAAAGGACCTGATGCCCTCTTCCAGCCTCCATTGGTAATGCATGCACATGCTGCACAGACAGGCAAAACACCCATACACATAATATAAAAATAAAATTGAAATTTAAAGACTCCTAGCTACTCATTCCAGGGAAGTAAAACTCTGTAGTCATAAAAAATCATATATAGAAGCATGAATTTTCCTCATTGCTTTATTTGTAACAATCTAAAACCAAAAATAATGCAAGACATCCTTCAGACACATAGTTTAAAACAGACAAATAAAACTTATTAATTCTTAATAATGTAAAGAACACATCTAAAGTGAGGCCAAATGGCTCAAAAGAACATTTATTTTAATGCATTTACAGAGGGATATGGTCTCCATGATCACTCCTTTATATGTGATCTTTTCACCATACTATGTGGAAGGTATTGTCCCATAGACTAGGAACACAGTACTTAACCAAGGTTACAATTCTAGAAACTTTAAGCTCGAGCTCAGTATTTTGGGCCTCAAAGCTACTCCAAGAAACCCTCATTTTACAGGGGAGACACTCAAGACACAGAGAGGTCAGCTAACTTGTTTCAGTCAATTACTGCAGCTACATGGGATAAGATCAAGAGAAGCCAGTCTTCTTATTCCTTTGTTCAGCATCAAAATTTGGTTTATTTATTAAGTAAGTGTGTCTGTGAGTCTCCTACATGAAAGACAGTATGTGAGCCACCAGATACACGAAGATGCTGAGATGCTGATCCTGAAGTTTTCTCAAAAACCACTATCTAACAGCAGGACCATGGGACAAGGATAACAGAAGAAACGAGCAAACACGTCTCTGTGTAGGACTCCCAATGTTGCCATAGAAAAGACAGCCCAATACTTAGTTCTGTGCTGAAGAAACCCCGTGAGGGCTTTCGTCCAGGTCTTATTATTCCTGGGACAACAGTGAAGACAGTGAAAAGGCAGAGTGACTAAAGGAGTCTATTAAGGTCATCTCCTGGGGCAACAGAATACCTGGAAACCAAGCTGTTTACTCCAAGAGACACGATTTTTCACAGCTAATGAAGAAAGCAGATGTTCTTTTCCTGTCACTTCACTCCTGACCAATAGCACGAATTTGCAGGTCTCTGGGCAGGAGAGCGGGGCTGTGAAAGCACATGTCACTGCCCTGAGAGATGTCACCAGGTGAGGTTAGTTATTTGGTGCCCCCCCCAAAAGAAAAAAAAAAGACAACATACAAGTCATCACTTCTAGAAAGAATTCTTAAAGGGCCCTATGATTATATATGCAAATAAAATAGACGGAAAAGGTCCTGCCCTTGGGGACTTAATACTTTAAGAATGAGCAAATAAGAATACAGTACAGAGGCAGAAGACAGGTGGCACATTTGAGCCAGCAGGGCCAGACTTTCCAGTTAAGAGCGAGGGGAAGCCTGTATAAGGATGGCTCAGACAAACCCTCAGATTACCAAAACAAAGGCTCTTACCAAAAGCAGTCATTGATCTAAATAACCAATTTTCTACTTCCTTCCTCTTACTTTCCAACTGCACTCAAACCATTCTGAAAGTGCTCTACTTCCCTCTTTTCAGGAAGGTTGTGATTTTCTAGCCTTTCTCAACCCAAGAGAATGAATGTATAGTAGGTACTTCCATCAGTGTAACTTTGGCAAAATGATTTCTGTATTATGGCCCTATTCTCCACCCTCTTTCAATTTAAATGAAATATCATTTTCTCCTGCACACAGTAAAATTTATATGTAACATCCAAGAATCACTTCACACCAACTATAAGGAGAAATCAATTCATTTATTTTTTTCTTTTCCAAGACAAAATCTCAATATAGTGCAGGCTGGCCTTAAATTTTGTAGTCCAGGGTGATTTTCAACTCCTGATGCTCCTACATCTACAGTCCAAGTACTGGAGTTAGAGGCTTGTACCCTCAGGCTCAGTTTCTATCACTGTTAATCATGGTTTATAAGCAGACTGAATTAGGTGAAACCTTAGGACACTGTAGAATTCAGCCAAAGTACACAAAACCAAGGAGAAATAGCATCAGTCATTTTATATTAAATGGGAAGAATACTTAAAGAAAAGGAAAAATTATAACCATCCCTCCAAACAAGCAATATTTTATTTTTAAAACACAACTCAGTTTTTAAAACAAAATAAGAACTAGAGATATGGCTCAGCAATTAAAGATTTCGGCTCAATTGTGAGAACCAGAGTTCAGAACCAAGCACTCATATCAGGTGGCTCATAAACACCCATAACGCCTGTTGCAATAGACCTGATGCCCTTTCTGGTCTCTTTGGGCACTGCACATACATACATTCACATAGATACATGCACACAGATCAATTAAAAAATAAGATATAATAGTCTAGTATTTCCATCAAATTCTTGGGAAATTCATACTTACATCCAGTTTACCTTTCTTTTAAATATCTGGTGAATTTCACAGGGTGCTAAATAGCTATTTAAACTACAATTCAGAACTACCACACTGTTTCACTGCCAGCATATCATAATTCATAACCTTTTTTGTTTGTTTGTTTGTTTGTTTGTTTGTTTTGAGACGTGGTTCACTCTGTAGCCCAGGTTAGCCTCAATTTCCTCATATGGTCTCAAACTCACAATGCTCCAATCTCAGCCACTGGTGTTACAGGAGTGTGCCACAGTGTCATAGTATCTAGTACACCTTTTAATTTCTAAGAGTTAGTTCCATCACAAGAAAATATATTGTGTAGGCAATTAAGCCGAAACAAACTTGAAGTATAGCAACCTTTTGAGGTGGGAGGGAAAAAAGCCTGAACTCACATCTAGATCCTCAGAGGAAGACTAACCAGACCAGATCCTAACCAATGCTCAGGAGTCACTGAGCACACAACAACAGTGACATCTAGTGTTAGCAGCTGCAACTCAGCTGGACCAGCTTCAGGTCCTCTCACAGGCTGGACAACTAACCCCCTATTTGGAGCTCCTCTTTTTTAGAAACACACACAACTTGTATATTGCATTGAAATTATCCACAATCAAAATGTTTCCTAGGTTCAACAAAGACATCTGCTAAGAGAAAATATCTCAGAGAGTAAATTCCAAAAAGCCAAAAGTACTGTTTCTTCTCAGTGCCCCACATACCAGGTACAATGAAAAGGGAGTTGGGGACATGCACTGATCAGAATATGAAGACAGGTTACATTTCTACCTGGACAGGTCAAGTTAACATGCTGGACCGAAGGCATTTCAGGAATATTTGAAGAAGAAGATAGAAAGGAAAGACAAAAGTTTCTGCTCATTGCACTCAAGTCAGCCTATGTTTCTGCCCTTCCAACCATGCCCCATTTCTGCAGCTTTCCAGACCTGCTTACTGAGGAGCTGATCTGTCCCAAAGCCTTGGGGGTATGAGTAAACTCACTGCAGTGCTTTTACAGTTGTAGATCACTGTGGATTTGACCGTGACTTTAGCCTGGACAGCGTTGTATAAAGTAAGGCTGGATTGAGCTTACCTGTTTGTTTTGGAAAGTTCATCCTTTCCCCTTTTAACTCCAAAAATTCTTGTGATCAAGGAACTAAAGAGAAGTGTAGATGAATTTCTCACCTAGTGTAGAAATGAACATAAAATAAGAGTTAAGAAATACTCATGGCATGAAACCAACATTAATAACTTTAAACTACATATTCAAAAATCATTACCTAACGGGCAGGGAGAGGCTAAAAAAAAATAAGGTTTGTGTTCATAAAATAAGGCAATTGAGAAAAAACCTTTCTGATAAATGATTTCCTCTTAAACTGAACCAGCTGTACAATCCAACCATATGCATACACATAGCTCTTTCTAACATTATCCATTGTTTTATCATATACTCCTAAAAAACAATGCAGACTTTTCTTGCCCCACATCTTGATGATGAACACTCAGGGAAACCAGAGCTCCTCTTTTTCCCTGTGAAAAATACTTGTGAGATTTAACTTTATAGAATCCATGTAATTAAAATAGCAAAGACATCAGTAAATACCCAAGATTTTGTTTATTAATCTTACAAGGCCAGTAACCCACTCAAGTAATTTTAACTATGAAATTATTATATATATAATTATATATATTTATATTTCTATGAATCTGACCCTGTCATGGCAGCACAAGCCTGTAATCCCATTATTTGGGAGGCCAAAGCAGGAGAATCATGAGTTGTAGGCCAGTCAGAGCTATACTATAATTTATTTTTATTTTATGTGCATTGATGTTTTACCTGCTTGTATGTCTGTGTAAAGGTGTTGGATCCCCTGGAATTGGAGTTACAGACAGGTGTGAGCTACCATGTGGGTGCTGGGAATTGAACCCAGGACCTCTGGAAAAACAGCCAGTGCTCTTAACCACTGAGTCATCTCTCCAGGCCCCAGTCTCAAAAAGAAAGAAGGAAAAAAAAAATCAGAAAATCAGGTTGGAGAGATGGTTCAGTGGTTAAGAGTACTGGCTGCTTTTCCAGAAGGACCTGTGTTCAGTTACCAAAACTCACATGGTGGCTCACAACCATACACAACTCCAGTTTTAGGAGATCCAGTGCCCTCTTTTGACCTACATGGGAACCAGGCATACATATGGCGCACTCACATGGGAAAAATAAAACAAATGCATCCTTCTAATAAAGGAAAATGATTTCTCCATGATACTAACAGAGCCTATCTTCACTAAGCAGAGCATGTAAAGATGTTTCAGGATCACATAAAAATCTTCACTATCCTAACATTATCAGCCTTCCTCAATTATCTTGTCAATCAATGTACACTGAAGTATACCAGAACCCTGGAGAACACTCAGAATCAGAAATTAAAAACTGCTGTGACAGAATATATATTCTAACTGGGTAGGTAGCACCATAATATATGTCAACTAGTAACATAAGCTGAAAGGTCATCAAACTAAGAATGTGAGCCAACAGGACGGCTCAACAGGTAAAGGCACTTGCTACCAAGTCTGATGACCTGAGATACATACCTGGGACCTGTATGGCAGAAGGAAAAAACTGACTCACACAAGTTATCTTGTAACTGACTGTCACACAAGAGCCGTACATTTATACATGCACGTGCACAGGAGTGGAATAATTTTTTTAAAAAGAAAATAATAATGAAAGATTTAGAAAACAACTTCCTGAAGCCATTGCAGTAATGTTCACAAACTCAACTGCCCAGGCATAGTGACAACAAAGACATCAGTGCACTGTGTCTAGGCCAGTTACTATCCAGTTTAGGCTGACTGGTGGCCATAACGGAATATAAGGCCACTATTGCCAGATCTTCTGGGTTTTTTTTGTTTTGTTTTGTTTTGTTTTTCAAGAGAAGCCAGAAACCCTGACTTTTATGTGAAATCTCACTATTTGGAAATGCTGGCAACAAATTAAAGAAAAGTGAGGAATCATCATGGAAGCCAAATAAAATACAGCAGTAGACTGCATCTGTCCCAATGGCCACCCACTGCAACCTCTCCTCTAGAAGCCCAAACTGCCAATTCACCTACAATATCCTTAAAAATGGACTCATAGTATAACCCCAAAATGGTTCTATAACTGATCTACTTATATGCAATCAATGGTCAGCAAATAATGGAGCCCTGTCATAGCCCTGCCTAGTGCTCCCAGCCAGCAATCCATCTATCAGTACTGTCTCTGCCCAGCTCAGATCTGGACTATCACAATATCTGTTCATGCCCTTTTCTTAAAAACCTAGTGGTTGGTTTCGATTTGTATTTCCCCAATGACAAAATGCTATTAAACATTATTTCATGTGTCTACTGGTCATTTTAATATCTGCTTTGGAGAAATGTATTCAGATTCACTATGTACCTTTTAAATGGGATGTCTTTTTCTTACTGAGTTTTAACTTCATTTAAAACCCAAGACCTTGCCCATGCTAGGCAAGCATTAAACCATTGACCCATAACCCCAGCTGCCATTTTGTGCTGTTTTACAAGACAGGGTCTTATGTAGGCCGAGTTGGGCTAGAACTTTGCTATCCTCTTTCTTGCCTCAGCTTCTTGAGTACTGGGATTGTAGATGTGCACCTGCCATAGTTTGGTCATTTGAGCATGGAGTCAAATAGGGGTTGTATTAGTTACTTTTCTTATTGCTACCACAAAACATCTAACGAGAGGAAGAGAGCTTATTTGGGTACTCAGTTGCATGGTACAGAAGGTGGGGTGGTAGGAGTGAGAGACTGGCTGCTCCCTAAGAGAGGCAACTAAGGAAGAGAGCTTGTTCTGGTACTCAGTTGCATGGTACAGAGGGTGGAGTGGCAGGAGTGGGAACTGGCTGCTCACACTGTGTACACAGTCACAGAGTCAGGGAGTAGAGTGAGTAGGAAGGGGTGGGGGCAATAAGCTTCAAGACTGTTCCCAGTGACCACTTCTCCAAAGGCTCCACGCCTGAAAAGTTTCACGACCCTCCCAAACAGTGACACTAGCTGGAGACCAAGCATTCAAACACATGAGCCTATGGGGGTGGGGGTGGGGGAACCCTTCACATTCACACCACAGAGGGCAGAGAGAAGGGGGCAGGCAAGAAGGTGGTGGGTGGCCTAAACAAATTCAAAGATGCGAGGAAACCCATTATTCTGGGAGCTATTTTTGTTGTTGTTTTTGTCTTTTCAAGACAAAACTATGTGTGGCTATGGAGGCTATCCTGGAACTCGCTCTGTAGACCAGGCTAGTCTCCAACTCACAGAGATCTGCCTGCCTCTGCCTCCGTGCTGAGATTAAAGCCGTGTGCCACCACCGCCCGGCCTCTGGAAGCTAATTTTTAAATATAGTAATATTTTTAAAGGAATTTGAGCACAGTTACCCTGCATGGGAAGACAGTGACAGGCATTCGATATCTCCCTATGTGTTATTGTTCAGGGAGGCCCCAGAAGCCCCCAAACAACAAAGGCTAGTGCCAATGCCCTTGGTTGTCCCTAGAACTAGATGGTAAGACTCTACTGCTAAAGATACAACACATTTTGGATAAAGGAATCCATAGACTCTGAAAGATGCACTAAGATACTAAGAATAGTTCTGCTTCTAGATCAGTATTACTAATCACTTTGGAAATGCAAATCAAAACCATAATGGGAGGGTCTGGAGAGATGGTGAGTAATCAGAGCTTTGTTGCTTGTGCAGAGAAGCTGGGTTCCGTTCCCATCTCCCACACGGTGGCTCACAACTATCTGTAACTCCACTTCTAGGGAATCCAATGCCTTTTTCTGACCTCCATCAAGCATGTTATGTGGCATAAAAATATATGTGCAGGCAAAACACTAATACATATAAAAATAAGTAAGTCTGAAGATTTTTTTCAAAAACCAGAATAGAATTCTATTTCATACTTATTAGAATGGGTTATCATTAAAGAAAAGGAAAATAATAAATGCTGGTGATGACGTAGGGAAACGGAGCTCTCATGCATGGCTGATGTGAATGTAAATGGCTCTACCACTGTAGGAAACAGGTTCCTAAAATGTGAAGCAGAATTACTCTGTGACAGGCCCAAACAAACTGAGTGCAAGGATTCAGAGAACTGGCATACAAATATTTATTGCTATACCATTCATAATTAAAACCTTGGAAGCAATTTCAAAGCCCATCATCATCCTAGCAGTAGAATAAGGAAAAATGGTACATGGTATACTGGAATATTATTCAACCTTAGAAAGCACTGAAATTCTGATCCATGCTACAACATACCTGAAACACACCAAATGCAAAGGGACATAAATGTTATGACTCCACTTACTGGATGTGTTAGGCCAGACAAATCCACAGAGAAGACAGCAGAGCAGCAGGTAAGAGGGATCAAAGAAGGAAAGATGAGGGGTCGATGAATGGGTAAAGATTCCTCTGTTTGTGGTGAAAAGCACAGAAAATATGCAAGAGTGATAACACCAGTGTACTTGGTGCCACTGAGTTATGTACACTTCAAAATGGCTCAAGGATAAACTGAAAAGAATAATGGACCACTTAAAGAAAAGAAGAAACAACCTAGAATATGGTGTTGTTATATATAACAACCTGTATATAGTGTTGAGTCACTGTATACAGCAAAGAAAAAATAAAGCAGTAACAACCCAAAGACTGAGAAATATAGGAGCACTCTACTAGTAAGTTTTTATACTTTATATAGCATAAGAGACACAAATGCCAAAGAAACCACAAAATAAAATCGTTATTAATAATAAATCAACAAAAGACATGAAATGGAACTTGTGGTGGTTGAATAAAATGACCCCCACAGGCCCATAGGGAGTGGCACTATTAGGAGATGTGGTCTTATTGGAATAGGTGTGGCCTTGTTTGAGGAAGTATGTCACTGTGGAGGCGGGCTTTGAGGTCTCAGATGCTCAACCTTTGTTCGGTGTGGATCACTGTCTCCTGCTGCTGCCTGTGACTCAAGATGTAGAACTCTTAGCTCCTTCTCCAGCAGTATGTCTACCTGCTTGCTGCCATGTCCTGCCATGATGATAACTGACTAAACCTCTGAAACTATAAGCCACTCCCAATTAAATGTTTTCCTTTATAAGAGTTGCTGTGGTCATGGTGTCTCTTCACAGCAATGGAAACCCTAGCTAACACAGAACCATAAAATAAAGGAATAAAAAGTAGTCTTATAAAAAAAAACTTATCCCCTAAAAAAAATAGTTGATATAACGCAGCATATATATATTTTATCATTAAGGGAAAGGTCAGATTATCAAAAACCTATTATTCAAAAGCTTAATTAACTCAGTGCAGACAAATGGCAAGAACACTCACTGCCCAGACAGGTGAAGTGAAGCCCAGAATTGCAGCCTTAGCTCCATCAGCAACATAAGGAATGATGTTTTCCCCCAGCCGTGTATCTCTGAACAGGGCTCGGAGGATATTTAAAGCATGAACCTAGAATGAAAAGCTCAAGATCAGTGATGGACTTAAAACTATGGTAATTCTGAATCTGTATACAAATTACCACAAGTGGACAGTTCTTGAATGAAATAGCACATTTAAGAGAATACACTTATGAACTGAAAACCTAGGTGAAGAGTTTATAAAATGGAGCAATACAACTAAGACAGCTTCGTCCATTGAACATGTGTAGAATTCTGTACCTAGTGAATAAGAACAGTAGGTTCTTTCTAAAGATACAGATCATTTATTTAATTTTTAAAAATGATCCCAAACCTATCTACAAACAGAATCTCAATACATAACAACTATTGCTATCTTGTAGGTTGTGCTCTCATCACAGTGGAACTGGGCAGGAATATTGTCTTAATGATTTTAAAATAAATACATTTAAAACACTGGTTAAGGGGCTGGCTAGATGGCTCAGAGGTTAAGAGCACTGGCTGTTCTTGCAGAGCACCCAGGTTCTGTACCCACAGGTGGCTCACAACCACCTCTAACTCCAGTTCCATGGGATCTGACTGCCTGTTCTGACCTCCATAAGATCCAGGTACATATACAGTACATAAACATATATGCAGTCAAAACATGCATACACATAAAATAAATAATTATTAAAATTTTAAACAATGATTAAAATTCTTTAACATTTATAGTTGAAAACTAGCAAGGCTTCTAAACACCGACACTGTACAATGTACTTTAACTGATTCTTAGGAAAAGAAATGTAAGCCGGGTGGTGGTGGCACATGCCTTGATCCCAGCACTCAGGAGGCAGAGGCAGGTGGATCACTGCACTAAAACAAGCAAACAAACAAAAACAAATTCTAGGTGTCTACTTAATACTTTAGAAAAACAATTCTCAAAACAAAAAAAAATAAAGTTGTTTTAAACAGCAAAAATACAAATAAGATCATTAAACCTTTGTGGTGGAGAGCAGACCCAAGCCTTACACACACTAGTAAAGTGCTGAGCCACTGAACTATAGCCCAAGAACAAAAGACAACTTTTAAAGTCAGATTCCTCACAACTCTAACAAGGCAGAAAGAAAGAAGTCACAAATAAGCAATATTATCGATGCCAAAGAACCTCATTATTTGTCAAAGTTCCCGTCAACTCGGGTCCTTTTCAAAGTGGCCACCTAATGGCGCACGCCTTTAGTCCCAGCACTCGGGAGGCAGAGACAGGCGGATCTCTGTGAGTTCGAGGCCAGCCTGGTCTCCAAAGCAAGTGCCAGGAGAGGCTCCAAAGCTACACAGAGAAACCCTGTCTCGAAAAAACAAAAAACAAAAACACAAAAAACAAAACAAAACAAAACAAAACAAGTGGACACCTAAAAAATATATATGTTTCTCACATTTCAACAAAAACTGTCTTGTTATGGTCTTTTCTGGAAAATGATTAATAACATGTTAGTTACTTTTCCCAAAGAATTTAGAGTAATTGGCCACTATGTATATGTTAATGAACACCATACCTTCTGCCAGTTGGCCCATATTATGGCTCCTGATACCACCTATGACTTAAAACCAAATAAACTTACTTTTCTTTTCTATAAACTATGGCTCTGTTCCCTAACTGAGCATGGGCCTTCCACAGTAATATCCTACCAAGAAGTATTTACCAAGGAAACTGAGATGACCAGGCACACATATTAATTACTACCTAGTAGTGGAGCAGAGCTGGCAGGGGTGTTGACCCAACTACATATACACAGTGACTAGAATAACTTAAAACATTATTTAAAATTGAAATATAAACATAATAAAAATAAGACACCACAATTTAAAGAAAGATTCAACTGCTCAACTACAAAGTGTGCATCAACTCAAAGAAGCACACATGAGATTCAAGGGACTACATACTCATTTCTAATTTTTAGATGCAATAGTAACACATTGTGAAGTAGCTTATCAACTGAATGTTTAACAGAGTTTAAAAGTTGTTCACTCTAATATGTATCAACCACAACAAGTTTATTTCGTGGGTAGGAAAAACCAAAAAATAAATAAATAAAAAAATAACACCAACCCTCTTAAACAATTCACACTGCTGTATCTGCAGGAGTTCCTTATCTTCAGCAGATACCTTTAAAAACAAATACACAGCAGAGCCTTAACTCCTCTCCCTGCAGCATCTCCATCATTACCTGGGGGACTGTGCCCTTTGAGCCATCTACAGACAAAGCCAAAGAGATCAGCTCTTTCATTGTTATTTTCAACAAATCCATTTTGCTTTTCTTTGGTTCAGATGCCAGCAATGCCTGTGAGGAGAAAAATACCAAAATTAATGGGCTTTGATTTTGCTTACACCTATTTGTTGGCTTTGGAATCAATCCCCAAATTGAAAATACCCTTTATAAAAACAAGACTACTGGGGTAAGTCAATTAAACCAGACTGCTTTAACCAGGTTAACTTAACTTCTCTTCCTTGTTCATGTATGAAATTAGGTTAAGGTGAAATCATGTCAATTCCACAGACCTTTCTGTTTGCTTGTTGATTATATAATTATAAGCAGCTGATAAATAAATGACTTAGATAGGCCACTTTGTAAGGACCAAAATCAGGTAAAACAGCAGATACAATAAACAAGGCACTTTCAGAAACAAACTGAGCAAATGAGAAAATTTTCTTTATTTAAACAGTTACAAAAACATTCTAGATTAGATTTCTTCTAAAGGTTGTCAAGCCCTCTAGATATTGATCAACAATTTAATTCTTCACAGAAGAATCTACACAAAGTCTAATCATGCCACAGTATCTGAAACTCCACAGGACAAAAAGAAACATTATAAACCCCACAGGGATCTTGCACTTGGATTTCAAAGGAGCCACTTACTTACTTTGTGACTAGCATCCAGTAAACAAAATAATGGGCTATCAGCCCACTTAAGGCAATATAATAAAAAGAAACAAAGTACTGATATATGTGACAACATGAATGAATCCTGAAAATATATTGCTAAGTGAAAGATGCCAGACACAAAAGATTGAATATTGTATGATTCCATTTACATGCAATGTCCACAACAGACAAATCCACAGAGACAGAAAGATTAGTGGTTGCCTGGGGCTGAGAGCAGCAGAGGTGGGTGGAATGGGGAGTAAGGGCTAATGGGTGGGAGTTAGAAGATACTCTAAAATTAGATTGTGCTAATGGTTATCGAGCTCTGAGAATATACTGAAAGCCACCATATTGTACACATTAAATGCACGAACTGTTGCCACAAGTGAATTAAATCTCAACAGAGTTGGCAAAGAAAAGCCACTTCAGTTACATTCTTAAACTCTTCCTCCATATCTGCACCTGTAAGATGTAGCTTCTGGCTCCCTAGAGCCAAAGTTTGCAACTATTCTGCATCTTCTAAATCCATGACAAGCTATGCAATAAGAATACACAAGACAGACATATAAACAGACTTAAACATTTTCATCACAATATATATATATATATATATATATATATATATATATATATATACTCTGAGAACATGGTCTACGAATGTTTAAAAAACTGTCCGTTTACACAAGGGGTGAACCCATACACTGAAATGGTAGTTTCTCACCACAGCTGACTGAAAACTGGTCAGCAGAACAAAGGGTATGACACTAGTGGCACATCATCCTAAGAAAAACAGGACCCTCTTTGAGCAAATTTTTCTGATAATTAAAACTTTATTCCACTAAAATAAGTAAGAAAGCTATGCTCAATTACTGAAAGGGGTTCTTCCCAGGAACTTGACTCAACTTACCTTGCCTCAAAGAAACAGGCAAAGTATGGCAACACTGCCTGGTGAGTATGGGTTAAGGAAATGGACTTGGTGGTGGCTCTAACCACATAGCACAAACACTGGGCAGGACCCTCAATTACCTGGCATTTGTCCTCAGAAAAGAAGGTCACACAAACACAGCAGGTCAGAAGGAACTGCAAGTAGGAAACTAAACTAAACACTTAGCCAGGCAGGAGGTACAGGCAGGACTTCCAAACAGAGAGCGCTCTAAGGGAGAAAAAAAGGGGCATCTCCAGCCGGACACAGAGGAAGCAGGACATGCAGGAGAGGCAAAAGCCACGAGCCACGTGATAGCACACAGATTAATAGAATCAGGTTAGTTTAAGTTATAGGAGCTAGTTAGAAACAAGCCTAAGCTAAGGCCAAACTTTCATAATTAATAAGAAGTCTCCATGTTATTATTTGGGAGCTGGCGGGACAGAGAAACTCATTACATAAAAGTGGCTAGGATCATGTAAAAAAACTCATTTCTCAAGACTACCCAGTGATTTCAGTCATTCACTTCTGAGATTGGTGCCCCATGGGCATCGAAAAGTCATGAAGAAACCAGGAGTAAGAGAAAGAAATAAGGGCTAGAGAGATGGCTTAGCAGTTAAGAGCACTACTGACTGCTCTTCCAGAGGACCCAGGTTCAACTCCCAGCACCCACATGGCAGCTCATATCTGTCAGTAACTCCAAGACACCCTGACACATACATGCTGACAAAACACCAATGCAAATAAAATAAGAATAAACAAATTAATTTGGAGAGAGAAAGAAAAAAACTACAGGGAGACTAAGAAAGATGGCTACTTTATTTACTTCCATTGTGCTTATTCCACTACCAATTTGTGGATTTCGTCTTACTATAAACAAGAATGGTATCTGATTTAGTATTGCAAAGGTATTGTTTATTCTTTGGGATAATGAAGCTATAGTCTTTTTTTCTCTAGCCTGTAGAAAGGAAATATTTACCATCAGCGGCAGTAGCAGTGTATGGGGATATGAGCAGGTTGTAAGGTACCATTATTTTAAAAAGCAAGTGTGCAGCATGTTTTCATCTGTGTTCAGAGACTGCACTCTCATGTAGTTTCACGTGGCAATGTGATCAAGAGTCAGGTGGACCTGGTTCAGCTTTTGCAAGCTTTACATCCCTGTGACCTTTGGCAAGTCTTTTCCTCAGTCTCCAGCCTCCTCACTGAGGATATATTCATGTTAACTACCTATCTCACTGGGTTTAGGTAGGGATCAAATGAAGTAACAGATGTGACCACAACTATTAAGACCATGGTTCTTATGACGGTTATGTTATAGGAGACCCAGACATGGACACTTCCTAGAAGTAAGCAACCACTGTACCAGTAATCTCTGACTACCAAACACACAGATGGAAATCTATACTACCCTTTGTTTATATTACAACACTGACCTCCTGATCCAAGAGCAGATCTGACACAGAACATCCTGTCCACACATTAAAACAAAGTCACACAGGAGACAGAGAGATAGCACAGCCACCAAATGTTAACAACCTACATTCAATCCCTGGGATCCACATGATGGAAAGAGAGAACCAACTCTAGCAAGTTGCCCTCTGATCTCTACATGTGAACCTGTGCAATACATACACATAAATAAATAAATGTAATAAAAATTAAAAATAACCAAGTTACAAATGCTATGGTGCTGAAAAGACAGAAACACCCTAATGCAATACGTTCCTCACATAATAAGGAGGTAAGAATATAGTTTCAGAGCACACACAAAACCAGTGTGCTGGTCTCGGGTGAGTACCTGTATGTAGAAAGGGATCCCAGCACTTCGCCTTGTGGCACAGAGTTTGGAAGAGGGATCACTGCTTTTAATTTCCTCCAGAACATTCCACAGCCACTGCTCCGGCAGCTTCTGCAGACTCACAGCAGAGCACCTAAAAGGTACAAACAACCAAATGTTTGGTGTTATCGGGCTCTGAAAGGCAAAAGTGCAAACCAACGATGTTCATTAACACTGTCGGGAATAATAAACATTTTATGTTGAGAAGACTAAACTTGTATTATTATTAAATACCTATTATAACAGTTACCCTTGATGTCAGCCTGTGAGAGGTCATCTTTAGCTGAGGTGAGAAGCCCCATCAACTGTGGGCTCAGCAGAGAAAGGCATGCACCCTCTGGCCTCTTTCTGGCTATGGACCCAGCTTCTTCAAGCTACTGATACCTGGACTTCTCCCTCAAGTTGCTTTTTTCAGGATGTTCCATCACAGCAGCAGGAAAGTCACTAAGGCCCCCTCTTTACTACCTGTGTGTCTGGGACTTGAAGCCATTAAAGGTTCTACTTACTACAACTTTACTGTGTGTAAAGCATGACCTTAGTTACAAACAAGCTTGATCACACAGGCTTGCTCCATACTCAATGGTCTGAAGCAGGCTCAAAAAGCTCATACAGATATTCATACCGTAAAACTCAAGGTTTCCAACAAGAACATCATACATAGTATAGTTTTCTGTAGTTGAGTTTTATTTACAGAGATTACATAAGTCAAAGTAAATGAATGAATTTAAGCTTACATTTTAATAAGTACTTTCATCTCACTTAAAAATGTGGCTTCTCACAAATAATACTTTTTCAAGTCTGTAGAGTATTAAGAATGAAATTTATCTGGGATGAGGCAAAACATGTTAAAAGTTTATTTGAAAGAGGATTTTCTTAAAATTCAGTGTGTGTGCATGCATGTGTTGTACATATCTGTGTATATGCAATGTGTGTGTGCACACACAAACAGGCAGGAACGCCAAGCATGGGGTCAGAGGACAACCCTCAGGAGTCCCGTCTCCTGCTACCTTGTGGGAACTGAGGATTGTCAAGTCAATGTTTAGGAGACCTGCTGACCATTGATCACACACCGGGAGACTTTTGCTCTACTGAACTAGCATTAGCTGAAGTAGCAGCATACTCAAGGGTAGTAATTTCTTTAGCTTGTATGAACATTACCAATGTGGTGATTTGAGAGATGGCTCAGCAGTTAAGAACAGGTACTGCTATTATTAGAGAGCCCAAGTTCAGTTCACAGCACCCATGTTGGGTGGCCCAAATCCTTCAGCTCCATAGGGTTCAGCACCTTCTTCTGACCTCCAAAGGCATCTGCACACACACACACATGCTCACACACAGGCACACACATAAGCATTAGAACACACACCTAACTTAGTATAACCTTTCATTTCCCAATCAAATGTTGAACTCCAGATTGCTCAAAACAAGTATTTAAGTGCTAATGATACAGTTATAGGTGGAACTGCCACATTCTTTGAGTCCTTTTTCATTATTAAAACACAAGAGTATATATGAGTTAATTTAGTTCACAGTTAAGTAGATAGGGAATTTAAAAAAAAACTAAAGCAAAGGGCATTGTGTGTGTGTGTGTGTGTGTGTGTGTGTGTGTGTGTGTGTGTTTCAAGAGTATGTTGCAGTTATATACAGAAGTTTTAAAAGTAACTTAAAGTGACTTGATCTACAATTATCTGTGAATTTCATTTCCTTGCATTTTCTGCTCTGCTGGAGAACTGACAGGCAGTCTGGGGCAGGTCAAGTCTCCAGTAAGAATTCACTATGCAGGAGAGGCAGGGAGAAGAGAAGTGCACGACTGAAACACCAGGACACTAGACACCAGCTCAACAAGGCTTCTTCACACAGCCTCACCTAGGCCCCAGTGGGCTAGCAAATGATGGCCACAGAAGCCAGGCAGGTCTGGGATCAGTAGGCTACCTCATCACACGTCACCCTTTCATGTATGAACTGACAACTGCTCTAGACAACCAATCAAATCTTAATTCAAATGATGATATTCTCTTTAGTCTGAAAAGTCATATATGACCTGGACCTAATCTTCGTACTTTAACTTCACCAATTTCTTCACATATTATTTTAATAAAGATCTTCTCTTTGCTGGCTTCTACAGTAGCATACACCATACATGCACACCAAATATGCACACGCCCAACTAAGCATCTTTTCATAGCCTCCACACATACTCCTATTCATCAAAATTGATGCACTTTCTAAGTTATATGGAGTTATATTACTAGGCACAGGGTATAGAGGGCTGGCAGTGTCACGGAAGGAATGGATGTAAGCTAGACGGTGAAGGTTGTTGAGCCGGATAGTGGAGAGCCTACAAAGCAGGGTCCAGAAGGCAGGAGCTAGCGAACAGGCTTTAACCAAGGTCCCAAAGACAATTCCCTCATTTAGATTCTTGGCTATCTGAAATGTAAACACTTAGCCAGACCTACTTATTCCCTTGGGTATTGCATACTAAGGACCAAATGTTCCTTATTAAGTTGGGGATTTCCAAAACAGGGCCAGAAGAATGTTCTACAAGATTACTGCTGGCAAAGTATCCTCAAGAGAGCACCATGTGCCCACTGAGAACCCAGCAGCCTCAGGATGAGCTCCGAGAAATGCTCGGGGCATTCACTCCTGCCACCAGTCCAGACCTTGTTCTGCTCTGGAATTCCCCAGAGCCAAACCAGCTTTTCCGAAGAATTCTTTAAGTGGCTGGTTTCCAGTATGGGCTTTGCTGATGAATTCAATCTCATTGATTCCCTTGCTTCCTAGCTCTGCTCCTCTCTTGGACTAGACCTCCCACCCCAAAGTCACATACAAAAACATGGCCTAACAACCTAGCTTTCACCCTGGTTATTCATATGAAACAGGGTGTATCCCAAACAAAACATTACAGGTCTTATTTAAATCACCATACTGGAAACACATTTGCCTGCTACATAGAAAGAAAACAGTTATTGCATGTCTATTGGGTATCTAGTCAACACCACACTCCACACACCTGATCTTGTGTCTGTCATGCTTGTAACAAACAATGCAAGAGAAACACAGTGGTTGAAGACACCAACCAGGAAGTCAGAGTGGCAATCATCTAAGTTGCTGTTTAAAACCTAATTATGGAGCTGAGCTACGGGGATCATCTTCCTTCTGTGCCACCTAAAAGCCACATGACCAAGTCACTTGCCATTTTTCTTTTCTATCACACGAATGCTCTTGTACATGAGTTTACTCTTAGAACATGTAAGTTCTTCTGAGGCATTTTATAAAAATATTATCTGATTCTGAGAATTTAAGTTTTAAAAAGTTTCAATGATATTTCTGATAAAGTTATGATAGTGGCTTACATTTGGAAAAGGCATTCTCCCATACTCACACAACAACCCCACACACATAACACCCAACACATACAACAGAAGCCCTAAATCCAGTTAAGTGAAGAACAAGATAACCCCAGGGAATTACAAGAAGTGAAAATGCTGACATGGAAACAAGGCTTATAGCATGGCAGACTTAGAATTAGCAGCGGTGGTCATGAAGTCAGCTCTGTGGGGTAACAAGTCATTTTTTTCCAGAAGGGAATTTCAGTGGCTTCCTCTCTCATGAGCAGGGTTTGAATAGGGGTGACAGCCAGAGCTGGGACACAACCAAGAAAAGCCATAGCACAGGAAGACTCTGACCCAGGCTGTCCACTGACTTGGTTGCTAAATCTGTACTATCCTAGGAGGATTAGGAAGAGATGGACCAAAATGATACCATCTTATCTACCTCCTCAGAGGAATGGATCCAAATAAGCACACAAATTAATCAAAAGGTTTTTAATTATGGCCAGCAAACCAAATCTCACAACACAAAGAATTCTGTATTAGGACAGCTAAAAATAACTAGAACATAAACTGACTCTAAGTGAACTAATTTTGTAGGACAGACTGACAAAGACCTTAAAATAACTTCACTTTAGTATGTTAAAGAAATAATGAAGGATAATTTCTTCTTTTTTTTTTTTTTTTTTTTTTTTTTTTTTTTTTTTTTTGAGACAGGGTTTCTCTGTGTAGCTTTGGAGCCTGTCCTGAAAGGCGTGCGCCACCAACGCCTGGCCAGGATGATTTCTTCTTAAGAAGTATAGGGGAACTGGGATGTAGCTCAGTGGTAGAGAGCCCACTAGCATATGCCAGACCCTGGGTTCAATACCTTTATTACAAAGAAGAAAAACACAAAAGGAATATTTACCTGCCAGATATGGTACACACCTATAATCCCTGCACTTGGGAGGCAAAGGCAGGAAGATCATGAATTCAAGATCAGCTTTGGCTACATAACTTGGAGGCCACCCTTGGCTACATGAAACTGTCAAATTTTTTAAAGTGCAAGAAATTATGAAAAACAGTGCTGAAAAAAGAAAGCTTGCATAAATAAAAAAACTAAATAAATAATAAATAAATACATAAATAAAAAAATATTCTGTACCAAAATATAGTTTCAAAAAAAGATGGTATCGATGCTAAATAATTAGACCTAAAAAAATTTTAAAACATCAATTGTATCAAAAATAAGTTTCTCAGTCAGGCAGGCAGTGATGGCAAATGCCTTTAATCACAGCACCTGGGAGGCAGAGGCAGGTGGATCTCTAAGGTTGAGGCCAGCCTGATCTACAGAGTGAGTTCCAGGACAGCTAGGGCTACCCAGAGAAACCTTGTCTCAAACAAACAAAAAGTTTCTTATTATCAATAACAAAAGACATAGAAGTATATTTAAAATGCTGAAGGAGAATTAACTGTTGTTGGAATCTATACCACATTAAACTATATTCAAAAGTGGAAGCAAAATCTAGATTGTTTGAGACACATTAGAAAGATGTCTGCTGGGTAAACTAGATGTCTCAGTGGGATTTACACAGTGCAAAGAGAAAAGAGACTCCTTCAAGTTGTCCTCTAACCTTCACACACTCGAAAGTATGGACACAGACACAGAAACAGACACACATACACAGAGACACATAACACAGATATGCGCGCACACACACACACACACACACACAGAGAGAGAGAGAGAGAGAGAGAGAGAGAGAGAGAGAGAGAGAGAGAGAAA